TAACTAACTAACTACATGCTTAATTATCCACTGGACGCAGTTTCAATGATCTTCTTTCATGAATATGTTTTTTCTCTTCACTGCATATTATTGGTTATGTTTAAACATGTCATACATCATATCAGTAGTTGACTGTCAGAGAGTGACTGGAGTGAGCGGAAGAAGGTAGAGATTGTTTGTCTAATGGTAATAAAGTAGTCGAGAGTGGTTGCAAGGAGGTGTAAGAGGAGATCAGCAAACTTGTTTTGGATATATTTCATGAAGACGGGTGNGGGTTATAATTAAATCGAATATAGAGTTGTGTGTATCAGCAAAGGCATCATTCATTTGTTGCTCCTGTTTACTGAAATTATATATTGTGTCATGCAGACCAATTGCTAGGCAACAACTGCAAAACAGACAACTAGACAACAGCCATTATTAGGCAATGGCCCATTAACAGCAACAGAGGAACAATGCTTTCTGTGTGGTCCATGCCAAGATGTTATAAGGAGGAGAGTTAGTGAGGAGTGAGTTCAGTCAGTTGAGTTTAATATAGTTGAGTTAGTCAGTCAGAGAACTGCTGAGGTTCAGTCATGAGCTGTTGCTGTGAGAACATGGTAATTGAGGCCCAAGATAGCTCAGGAATCCAGAGGAAGGGGAACATCCTCCATTGAAGCTGCTACCAAGCAACAGCTAGTGAAGATGTGACTGTGGACACTAGTGCATGCATGTGTGCACATGTGCGTGCATTTGAGAGAAAGAGAGACTAATAATGAACTGTAAACTGTAGACCCTCCCTGTATCAAAGAGTCCAATAAATTCAATCATCAATCCAAAACCCTTCTAGAGTCACACTCATACACATGACAATATATTGTAACGTGCTTCGTTACTGAAGACGCCGTAGAGATGGTTAATTGGTTTATTCAACAATCTACAAGAAACGGCTACAATTAATTATAACACAGTTGCGGGGTTTCACACTTTATAACCCTAATCGCGTTAATCTGTCAACACTGTTGCGGGGTTTCAAGATTTATAACCCTATGCGCAAATCAGCTCACTGTCTTCAGTAGTCTACACGTATACAGTAGGGGAGCTAGGTATCACTGTATCACACACTCCCAATTACACAATCACACACACGTCCGGATCTTCTTTCCGCGACGGCTGCTATATTCCAACAGTAGTCAGCTGACTGGAGAACTGTTGATAACACACTCGCTCGACTGCTACTTTATAACTCGGAAATGGCTTCGGCGATGGCCACGGTATAACTGACTCGGCGAATGTTACTTGATAACTCGGCGGCTGTCACAGTACAACTGAAGTCGCCGACTGCTACAGTAGAACTCTCTGGTAGCTGCTGTGCAGCTCACTTATATAGCTGCAGTGCTTGCCTGTTGCGTAATGAGTGCCACGTCACAGTAGGAAGTTGATTATGGGTACGTAGCGTTGCACGTTACGTCACCGCGGAGGGGAGTGGTGGGGCGGGAACTCGCCTATTACCGTAGTATCACGAGCGTTACGTTACCGCCACGTACCGCTGGGGAGGTAGGGGTGATCCATAGCTCAACATGTTACAATATATAAGCATTCTAGTGTATTTAGTATTTGGCTTTTCTTTTTGATGTGGACTATTTCAAATGTGTTGTTGATTGTGTTATATGTATGTCCTGTGTTGAGTATTTGCTGAGCATATTTTGAATTTTATTTATTGCCTTTATAGCCTGAATGTGTTCATTATGTCACATTTTAAAAGTTGGTCTAGTTTGTCTGATGTATTTTAGTGGGCATTCATTGCATTTTAACTGGTAAATTTCACTCTAGCACACTATATATATACACACACACAAGGTGGTTCAAATACGACTGGGACTGATTTTTTTTTTTTTGCCAAACACTTACTTGCACATGTCAATCTTCAACGCACTCCCCTCTGGAGTCAACACATTTTTCCAATGTTCTGGAATCATCCTGATGCCCTTTTCAAAAAAGGCTTGTGGTTGGAGGCGTATCTGCTCCTGAACAGTCTGGATGATGACATCATTGTCCACAAACCGCATCCCTTGCAAGTCTGATTTGAGCCTTCCGAACAGGTAGAAATCACTTGGGGCCAAATCAGGACTGTACGGCAGATGTGTTAGAAGGTTCCATTTCAATTTCCAGAGGGTTTCCATTGTTGTTTTGGCCATATGGGGGCATGCATTGTCTTGAAGGAAGGCTACTCACTTCCACCTTTCTTCTGCTTGGATTGGACCTTTTCCTTCACGTCTGTTGCCAGGAAGTCTAAGTAATAAGCTGCACTGACTGTTCTGACATCTGTCAGAAAGTCTACATGAATAACCCCCTGCCAGTCCCAGAAGAACGTTGCCATCACTTTTCCTGCCGAACAGCTCCTCCGCGCTCTCTTGGGTTTGGGAGAGCTGGGATGACGCCACTCGCGTGATGACTCCTGGGACTCAGGAATGAAGTAGTGCACCCACATTTCATCAGTGGTCACTACAGACTTCAAAAATGCATCACCTTCATCTTCAAACTGCTGTAGGAGACGACTGGCAGCTTTCATGCGCACCATTTTGTTCACATCCGTCAAAGTGCGTGGTACCCACCGTGCATTCATCTTACGATAGTGCAGGTGGTATTTCATGATGTCTTCTACACTACCAACACTGATGAACAGCATTGCTCCAAGTTCCTTGATAGTGATGCGCCTATTCTCTCGAATAAGCAAATCTACATGATCAATGTTTGGCTCGGTTACAGATGTTCGTGAACAACGATCATGCTGTTCATTCTCCATGCGCTCTCTGCCCTCTCTGAAGCACTTATACCACTCAAACACATGGGTCCGTGAGACACTCTTCCCCATATTGTTGTCGGAGTCTGTGAATTTCAGCGGATGGGATGTTTTCTCCAACGAGGAATTTGATCACAATGCGTTGTTCCACACTCCACGGTACCTTCTGTTTGCTCATCACTCTAGCAACTCCCAGACAGGACTGAACAGGTTCTAACCCGAACAGGAGGGAGGGTGGAGGTTGTGGCTTCACTCTCTCAAGGTCGCACAACTGCTGCATAGTGCAGCTTGTTTACACACAAATCAGTCCCAGTCATATTTGAACCACCTTGTGTGTGTGTGTGTGTGTGTGTGTGTATATACATACATACACACACAGATCAGTTTTCGTCTCTTTTGGTTTCAGAGGTTTTTTTATGTGTTTATAATTTTAAACAACATGTTCACATTTGTATTCTTGAATATCTTCATGATTATTCTAGTATCAATACCAGAATATGTAAAGCTGGACCATTTTGATTTTTGTATCTGTTGTGAGCTTTTGTTGGTGGAGTTAAGTTTTTATTCTTGTTTCTTGTGAATTATACATTGATAATAATGATTATCTTTTAGTGCTCATCTTATGATTTGTAGTTCATTACTTTTACTTTCTGGGGTGATTGGGTATATATTCATCCCAGTTAATTAAGCAATTCATTGTGGATTTCTTATGTTTGCATGGATGGCACAAGCTGTTATGTATCATTAGGTTGGTAGCGGCAGGTTTATGGTATATGTCGAATGTTAGTTAATTATGTTGGTTCAAGATGGTTAAGTCTAAATAATTTAGTTTGTGGTGTATTTCCTTCTCGACAGTGGGTGTACTGAGCTGAAGTCAGTTCGAGTATTATCTATGTTTGAAGTGCATGTATCTCAGACAATTAATATGTAATCTACATATCTACGGTATTCAAAAATGTGGTATTCTTTTAGGATTTCAATAATTTTTGTATGTTTTAAGTACTGTATAAATGTTTTGGCTTGAATGGCAGGGGCGAGGGCCACCATCCCTAAACCATCATTTTGTTTACTGTATTGGTTATTGAACTGTAAGCAATTTTGTTCCAGAATAGTATTTAGTACAGTTATTAGTTCATGTTTTATGTTTGCACATATTTGGTTGTTACTGTTAAGAATGTTTTTGATTATATTAGATATTTCTACTATCACTAGAAATAATACTATTAAGCACTACTCAGAGATGAGTGATGAGCTTCACCCCCTAGCACCTTTAGCCCCACAGAAAGAGCCCCAGTGCCCATTGGGTAAGAGGCTGGGTGGGCCCTAGAACTAACCTTGCCCCTGCCAGGAACCAGCCATAGCCAGCTGCTATAGACTGTGCTATGCCAGCTCCTAATTAAGTCACTTAATCAACAGAACAGTCATCACCACAGAAAAAAATGTTGCATAAAATTCTTATTACCTTAACCCAGTCAATATTTTCAAGCCAATTATCCTTTATTTTTCCTTCCTTTTTCCAATGATAATTGCCTTCAGTATCGAAGTGTCCTTCTTCTAACTCTTCTTTCATATTGAATGGTGTAATTGCAACTTCACCATCAAAACCAACTGCTCCCTCTTCTTGACCTAACCGTAAATAAATCAAAATTCTTAGAACTGTAACTAACAATATTCATTGATCTACGGCACTTTCAAATAGTTAAAAACAACTAAAAATATATTTAAAAACGCACCTTCAATTTCACCTTCTGATAAAATGTCGTAAGCTTTTCCTTCACCATCGTCATCTTCGTCAGAATCAAGGGAATTCTTTTTGTCACCTGTTTTAATTTTTGTCCCAATATCTGCCCAGTCTTCCTCGAGCTGATCTTCTAATTTTCCTTTTGGCATTTTTAACACAACAAACGTGTACAACAACATATACAACTTAATACAGCGAGATATCGTGACGCGTATTACACACGTACTATGTTCTGTGACTTGTCCTACGTTCTATATCGCATTGAGTTACGTCCCCCTGGTTGGACGGGTTGAATTCGCTGTTACTGGTCTGCGTGTAATAATCCGTCTTGTACGGCGATATTTGGAATTTCAGAAGTTTGATACGTTGTTTGCCAAAATATTCGAAGTATTCAGTAGTTTTTATGCAATTACCTGCATCTATAGTAGAGGGAAAATAAATACAGATAGAGTTAAAGAAAAAAACATGGTAAGTTTATTCCTCGTAGGTTATGTTGTAGCGTATAAAAAACTTTAGTTGCTCATTCTTAAGCTAACCTTTCTAACACACTATGGTGTGAAGAGTTACCTTGATCCACAAATTTAATCCGTGATAATTCGACATTTTGTTTAATATATCGTGTCAGTCACAACCTTCCAGTTTGGACAGTGTGGCAATAAAATTGGTTACCACGTCTGTTCACCCCCATCACAAGGATTTTATGAGTTTGAAGTCTTGATAGTCTAATGAAATTACAGGAAGATAGTGTAGAAGTAAACAGGCTAGGATAAGTATGTAGTCGAGAGTTGTAATAAGGGATACAGAAAAAGGGGAAGCACAATAGACCACTGTAGGTTGCGGTGCAAGGGCCGAGGTCTACCCCTCATACATTCATTCATTCAAGGGATGCAGAATGAGATAATTAAAAAGAGAAGTATACAAATAACCGTTTGCAGATTATGTATAAAAATATGATGACAAATAATATATCCCATAATGGTGGTTGTGCTGGAAATAGCTGGGTTTGTGGTCTTGAAAGGAAAGGGCTAGAATAGGAAGTTGATAGAATTTTCCGTCCGGTGCGGCAATAGAGGTCACATCACTTTTATTATTCTTGCCTTACATGTTTTGGTTTAAATAAACCATCATCAGAGGCACTTTTTATACAGCTGGAAACACTGTTAATTAAGCTGGTTTGGTGTTACTTTCAATGTGTTATGATAATACGAAATATACATTTGTGAATAAGTTTTAGTTACGACGGCACTCGTATAAAAACATACACATGCAGAATAAGTGAGTATGCCAATAGGCTATACGCAGCACAGGAATTATCACTGTTTCCCCACAGTAGATTTCTTAACCAGCTTAATTAACAGCATTTCCTGCTGTATAAAAAGTGCCTCTGATGATGGTTTATTTAAACCGAAACGTCTAAGGCAAGAATAATAAAAGTGATTTGACCTCTATTGCCGCACTGGACGGAAAATTCTATCAACTTTCTAATTTAACAGTGCAGCGGACCAAAATGAGACAATTTAAGATAATAGGAAGAACTAGTTATGGAGAGACACAAGAAGGAAGTTGAGAAGTGTGATAGGACATCAAAGAACCTTTTCAGGAATGACAGGCGGCACACGTTCGGCCACCGTCAAGAGAAGTAACAAGAAAGAGGACACAAACCTATTTGGTTTATAAATTCTAACTTAACTAACAAAAATCAAACAATTTTAATATATCAACACAGCCGCTGTAGTTGAAACAATTGGATTTTGTGTGTATCCGTTTGTATATTATCAACATTGTATGTGTAATTTAACGCTCAGAACATCTATTGTAATAGTAGTTTCCAAACTGTATTGATGTCCCCATGAAGATGGTCTCTAAGGACCGCAACATGTAAGGGCATGAAGAATTGAAATAAGAAAATTATTCACCAGTCACACTGGATGGAACTGTTTTATCTTTTTTATAATATTGTTAGTGTGACTGACCAGAATGAAACAACTAAAAAAAATTAGACTGAGTGTTGGAGAGAATATTTGGATCGAAGACTGATGAAATAATAGGAGGTTGTAGAAAACTGCATAATGAGGAGCTTTACAACTTGTACTCTTCTCCAAATGTATTTAGAATAAGCAAGTCAAGGAGGATAAAATGGGAGGGCATGCAGCATGTGTGGGAGAGAAGAGAAATGCATACAGTCTTTGAGTGGGAAAGCCAGAAGGAAGGAGACCAGTAGACAGACATAGATGTAAGTGAGAGGTTAATTTTGCAAGAAGTTCTGGGAAGAACTTATTGCCTACTTTCATTTGATATGACATGGACTGTAACGAAAATAACGGGTTCAACAAATCTTTTGTTGTTGCATGCATATTTGTTGCCACAGGCATGTTTTCCAAGCCATTGCCCAGCAACAATAGGGAATGTAGGCTAATAGCAGATCAACTGTTGAGGTGGCATTTTCTCTGTAGCTTGACCCAAAGTCATATAAAGAGGACAACTGTGCTCAAGAATTAGTGGGGGCTACACAGACATGTAGACAACAAGGTAATCTCATAAGCCTCCTTTTATTTTTTTCAAAATAAGAGGCTCAAAATGAACCTTACAGAAATAGGATGAAATGATGTGGATTGGATTCATCTGGCTCAGGGTACATACCAGTGGTGGGCTTTTGTGAACCTAGTAATGAACAGTCAGGTTTCTTAAAATATTAGTAAGTTCTTGAGAACCTGAGCAGCTGGCAGTTTCTGAATGACCCAGCTCCATGGAATTGTTTGTTGGTTGGTTACATATTTCAGCTCCAAGAAATTGTGTCAGTTTTCGGGCCTTTCTGAAATGTGTTATAGCTGAAGTCTGTGTCTGCTGTTGGACAGCAAATGGCGATTCAGTGTGTGGTGTGGGGAGGCATATGTGTTAACCCATTGATGCTTGAAGTTCACCTAAAGAAAAAGATTTAAAAATTCACTGTCTGCCACATAGAAAACTGCCTTGGAGTTGTCAGTTTCTCACTACAGGCTTAACAGCAACAGTGATTTGTATCATTACTGTTTATTGTAATATTAATATAAAATTTACAATTACTTGGTTTGGGCCACATGGTATCAAAGCACATTACACCTCCTTTATCACAATCACCGAACAAGTTTGGTCAGGTGTTAACCCATCAGTCATGTGACTGAGTTTGAATCTCAGCTCTGAGTGAGATTCATGGCATTGAGAATCAAGATTATAATCTTCTGAGATATGATGCCATGTAGTTTGGTAGATGGATACCAGCATTACTGAGATGGAGGCAGCAGGTTCCCCTGAAATGTGTACCGAACTGCATGGTGTCATATCCCAGACAACTGTTACATGTCTTGGGTGGGGTTGCCATTTTCCTCAGTCCCTCTGACAAGTGCCAAAAGTGTACCTCAAATTAAGACATGATCACATCTTTCCACATTCATTCTGATTTGTTATTTATTAATCATCAAAGCATGTGAAAGTATGTAATCTGAGTTACTGCAACATTGTTAAATAAACCATAAATATACACCTTTTCACAAAAATCATCATCACCTCATAGTTTGTGTGTTATGTAAGGCCGCGCCATAGCTCAAGCGGGATTTGTGGTGGACAAAGTGGCACTGGGGCGGGTTTTCTCCAAGTACTTTGGAGTCCCAATCTTCATTCCACCAAATTCTCCATCATCATAATCACCAGGGGCAGGCTACAGTAGGCCAATTAGTGGCCGCCGTGCTGAGTGGACCCATTTGGACTCCACCCCCCACTAAGCAAAAAAGTTTGTGTGTTATGTCTGCTGATGGGTAGATCATCACAGAATTTTCTTTCAGGAAAATGGAAGGAGGCAAACGACACGAAAGAGGCCCATTAATAGCTATTACACTAACAGCGAGCAGAACTCACAGCGTGTTAATTTTAGCAATTGGCCATATCGTGAAAAAGTTGCACTGCTAAAAGCTCTGAAAAAATATGGTCATTATGATATGGTAAACGTGTGCAAGGCTGTACCTGGCAAGAGCAAGGATCAGATAAAGGCAGCAATTGATATGTGGTGGAAGGCAGCACGTGTTGCAATGCTGGCTTCAGCTGGTGACAAGCAGAGCAGGGATGGGCTGAAACATGTACCTAAGAGGGGGAAGGGTAGACCATCAGGGTCTTCAAAAGGTTTCTCTACAGAGAAGGCTCCTATTGATCAGTGGCTACATAAGTTGGAGGAGAGTCAGCCTGCATGCAGCTGTTCTGAAACAAAGCTTCTACAAAAAGCACTTCTCTACATCTCCAAATATGAAAATCATCCATCACCACAAAAGTGTAATGGAGTAGATTACAGGTAACTAGCCTCACTCTTCCGTGTGAGATTTTAATATATTTAAGTCTCTAGCTGCTGTATTTTCTTTTAAATGTGCCATCTTAACCTCATATAGAACCTAACTGTATGCATCACCAGCTTTAACATTAGAAAATTTCATCCCCTCCCCCATGTATTTGTTTCATATAATTGTCATTGATATGATTTGATCTACTGTCATGTATATATTCCAATTTTGTATTATATTTTATATACACATGGTAGGTTATGTAGTTGCAGTGATGTGTAGGGTTTCATATACTTGGTTTATTGTTGTGGATTTATATGCTCTGTTCTGTTGACTACTTGCTAATTTAGCAAGCTTGTGGTGTGACAGGTTCTGTATCCAATGGCTTCGGCCTTGTATGGATGTGCTGGAATATGTAATAAATACAATACAATACAAGAAACTACAATTATTTCCCAAAATAGAATTAACCATTTCATATCCATAATGGAGAGGCATTGTCTGTGTGAAGTAGGAACTGAATTTTTAGATATTTAGATGCATTTCAGGCTGTCTTGTGGGATATAATGCCATGTAGTCCGTTTAAAGTCAATTGACGTTTCAGAGGCAAAAACATATTCCTCCACGTCAGTTGACTTTCAGCAGACTAAATGGCATTATTCCCAGAAAATAGAACTCTTCATAACCACTGCAGTGACCCTCAAAATCTTAAATATTCTTAATTTTCAGCAGCAAAAGGAGCTGAAATTTATGAACTAATGTCCACAGCATTTCATAACTGTGATTATAGTGTATAACATTCAGTGTAGAAAAATGCCATGAAAGAAACAACACTCTTTATACCATGTAGAAGTGGAAGCCATAACTGTTATCATATTTACTGTTCGTTAGGGCCACACCATAGCTCAAGTGGATAGTCACTCTCTTCCCACCGCAGCGGCCCAGGTTCAATCCCGGGTCTGGTCAAGTGGGATTTGTGGTGGACAAAGTGGCACTGGGGCAGGTTTCCTCCCTGTACTTTGGCTTCCCCTGCCAATCTTCATTCCACCAATTGCTCCACAATCACCCTCACCTATCATCTGGGGCTGGTACAATAGGCCAGAAAATGGCCGCAGTACAAGGGACTTAGTCCCACTCCACTAGCAATAAAAAGAAAAAAATACTGTTTGTTGCAGCTCAAGACATTGTAGGACATTTAATATTGGCCATGTCAGCAATGTTAGCTATCCTGACTGAGGCTTTTTATGATTAAATGGCCCATGTTTGCACTGAAACCATCTTGGGTGACAGCCACATGATGATTGATCAGAAAACCAACATCTTGGAGACATTCTTTTGATGGAATTACAGATCTCTGATATGGTGATTTTTACTTCAGTTATAATGTGGCTAATCACCTGAGAAGACCTCAGTGGATTTATTTGCTATGAAAGCTACCAGTCTTACATGATGTTTGTTTGTAGAGCAATGTATGAATACCTGTACTGCATGCTGAGTGGATACCCAGGGAAGACGCTGAACCCTGAAACTGCAGCATATGTCCTTGACAGTCTTAATGACTTGGCATTGGAGATTCGAGAGAGAGGAATGCAGAAAGAGACATTCTTCTTAGATGTTGTCCAGAGAATTTATGGTCAGCTTCGTCAGTATGCAGGAAAGACAAAGACAGAGGTTTGTACAGTTGAATAACTAAAAACTGGAATGATAGAAGTACTCAGTTCATACTTGTTACTACTCTTCAGTCCATAATAACTGAGCTGAAAAATGTTTTGCATCACTTATTTTACAAAGTGTTATGGAACTAATTTTCCTTTTCTTTACCCATAGTCTGATTTAGAACCCACCTCACCAGAAGCAGCCTTTAAGAACTTCATGAAAACAGTGGGTGTAAACCCACTGAATATACCCATGAGTCTGCTGAAGAAATAGAAGGTCATGCTGGTCACTGTGAGAAAAAGTTGCATTTCTGTCGCACTGACAATGCATTTCTGAAGTGGTGCCTGTTTTCGTTTTTAATGATTATTTATTTATTATAAGTATACTGATACAGTAATTTCTAAGAATAAGAACTATGAACCATTCTGCTATGATTTGAAACTGTCTGATCTTATGTAAAGAAAATACAGAATACAGTCATGTGATTGAGTGACTATAGATGGGGTTTGAATTGGTAACTGGATTTATTGAATTGAATCTAAGGAATATTAAATGACTTTGCAGTGGAGAAAGTTGCACTGCAAGAAATTCAGTTTGTACTCTTCATCAAAGACTGTAAAAGTATAAAGTATACATATAACAGGCGAGTGAAACAGTGAATTATGAGGGGCAGTCAAATGAAAACGGGTCAGAAGCCAAAACATATTAAAGAACATTTCTTACCTCAAAAGTATTCTCCAGAACTGTTAATACATTTATCCCATCCTTGAAAAAGCTTGTGGGCTATCTACGGAACCTCGTCTTTACCAAGCCACACAGTCTTCGTCCGTTGCAAACCGATGTCCACGAATGTCTCTCTTCAGGTCTCCAAAAATTTGAAAATCACATGGGGAGAGATCTGGGCTGTAGGGGGGATGTTGAAGCACTTCCCAACCAAGTCTCTGTAGTGTATTCCCCACAGAGTTGGCAGTGGGGGGCGTGCATTATCATGAAGAAGGATAATGCCGTTCGATAGCATTCCAGGGCGTTTTGACTTTATGGCATGTCTAGTTTCTGCAAAGTGTCTTCATAGTGCTGTGCACTGATTGTGGCCCCATATTCGAGAAATTTGACAAGCAGAGAGCCCTTGCAGTCGAAGGTCATTTTACCAGAACCTGTGTGTATGGCTTTGGATTTTTTCGGTGGGGGAGAATTCACGTGTTTCCACTGTTTGCTCCGCCATTTGATCTCGGGTTCAAAATGGTGGCACGAAGTTTCATCCCCAGTGGCAATACAGGACAGAAAAGCACACACTTCCTCATGGTATCGTTGCAAGTGACCCAGTGATGCAGCCATTCTCTGAGTCTTCTGTTCCTCCATGAGTTGATGTGGAACCCACTGTGTGCAGATTTTGCATTATAGCAGGTGTTTTGTCACAATGGCGTATACGGAACCATGACTTATTCCCATCAAAAGACTAATTTCTTCCACAGTGATCCATCGGTTTTCCCACATGACCATCCAATGCTGCAATAACATCAGGAGTGATGACACGATGAGCCTGTCCTGGGGGAGCATCATCTTGCAGTGACACACGTTCCTCTTGGAAACTCTTATGCCATGCCAGCACACGCGAACGTGACATGCTGTGTTCGCCGTAAACGATATGCGACGATGAATTTCTTGTCCTACTCCTCCAGCAGTGAAAAAGCGCACTACACTTCACTGTTCTTCTTTACCTGCCTCCATTACTGATGTTGGGCGACCACATGTAGCGCTAACCTTACTTCCAGCACAATAAACAAACAACTAGTGTGCAAGGGCACGTCACTGTGCTTTACCAAGTCCCCACCAAATGTTATACCATAAGCAAATTCCAGTGTTACCAACTTGCGCGCCGTGAGAGTTACACATGGTGACCCGTTTTCATTTGACTGCCCCTTATATAAATTAAATAATTAAGATTTTGTTTAATTCTTCCCTTATAATAAATAAACCTTAAATTCACATGCAACTCTTCACTGTGATATTCAAATTGGTGTATGAAATCGGAAATGTGAGGCCTGTACTGAATTAATAGACAATATTATGGTTTTAGTTTCATGTTGTTACTATTTTATATATATATATATATATATGTGTGTGTGTGTGTGTGTGTGCGCGCGCATGTGTGTTTTATATATCACAGTGACGAGTCTGTAATATGAATACGGTGGAAAGTTTATTAAAACTATTTTTGCATCAGACAATAGAAGAAAAGTTAGAGATTAAGAAAACTAGGCACTTTCAACCAAAAGATATGGAAATAACATCACAGCAATAAATAACATTTAGTACATAGTGGTTGTATTTGTACCAGGAGGGCTAAGACACTTTGCCAGAGGTGACGGGGTACGTTCATTTAAAATGCTGTCATCTAACAGAATTGCTAAAAGGATACCAACATAAACATTAACACAAATTTTCACCTCTTTCCTTGAATATGGGCATTCAGAGAGGTGTAGATTTTATTTTGCTCAGAATCCACCTGTTGAGGTGCTTACAGGTTGCCATTGTAAAAGTGCATAATTTTCAGAGACCTGTTACCATACGTCATTTCTAATTTCTGAATTAAGTGACAGTGTTATCATTCATCTCACAAGTATCCATCATGTTATTGATTATGGAAAAATTGGAAGTATGATGGTATGGTCTCCAGTGCCAAGTTCCATCATCTGTTCAGAGGTTGAAAAGAGGACAGACAGCAGGGTGATTTCAATAGCTTACCTTGTTTCTTCAAGAAAGGAAAGCAGGCCAATAAAAATAAGACATTTTAAGCAATATAATTATTTTATTTACAAGGATACAAATTTTATGTTACATAAGCAGAGGAAAGACTTATGTACAAGATGAAAAAAAGAAAATAAACATAAGCAACTGGGCAGAAGAATTGCAAAGGGGGAAGTCAAATGTGGACAGTTTAGGCATGATGTACTAATGCCGTCATATCAGTCGATACTGTTTGCACTCATCATGGTAAGAAAGCTGTTGCTGTCCAAGCAAGTATATTCTTCCAGCACCTGAATGGCTTGTGTCACTTTCACTAGTGGAAATATTTTACCGTACCTCCTATAGATGTTAAAATTCTACAGAATCTTTGAAAATCATAAATATGTATTGGCTTTAGATATTTGTTTGCTATAAATGTTTGTTTTTCTGATGGAAAACACTGTAATTTGGTCTGGACATACTTAGCCAAGCTATTTAAACTGGCATTCAACACCATGCAATAAATCTGTTATTGTCATAAACCATATTTTTCCTTATCTGATCCCCACACAATCTTCACAGTATAAATATGATTATATTTCTAGAATTACATATTCAATCTCTCAATAAAATGTTTCCACACACACACACCAGTCTCCAGTTTGTTTCTTACAAAAATAATGACCTTTGAACCCAAAAACTGCATTGTCCCCACTACTTTGAGTCCTTAACAGGAAAAGAGATATTAGATTACAATCATAATGCAAAATTATATTTTTTATCAGTTTTGTATTATTTACAGAAAAATATGAAAGTCTTACTTGCATGGAAAAAAGAGGAGTATTATTAAGTCACCTGATTGTCAGTTTGAGAGACAGTGGATACAGTTAATGTGTGAAGGACACTCTGCAGTCTCTCTCTTTAAAGTATTTCCTTACAAACACTGGATGAATAGTATGCTGAACTGGCAGGACAGGAGAAAGCTTCTGTAAACGACCTCAACTGCCTAAGCACAGTCTTCAGTCTGAAAAACACAATGTCCAAATTTGTTCAGTTAATAAATCACTGTAGTGAATAATATTTACATTTTATTACAAGAAAACTTCGTTTATTTGAACATGGAAGAAGAAGCCAATCACTAGATCAGCAAGAATGACTGATAAGCATGTGTAAACTTCATGTGCTGAGACCACAGGTGAACGAAGCAGTTTTGCTGAGGTAAGAGATGCTGAGATAGAGTAAAAAAAAGTAAAGCTATCCCTGTAACAGGCCATGAAGGCCCATAGGGTTGTGAGACGTTGAGGGTCCCACATTATCTAGACAATCGGCTCAAAGATGGCAGTAAGGTTGTCAGCCTTACACGCCAGCTGCGCTTTACTCCCCAGCAAAATTCATTAATTAATTCCTGGTACTCATTTCTGTTAGAAGCTGAGTCAACCCCTGGGCCATAGTGCAGCCGGAAGGATTAGGTATATTGAAAAATATCCAGTTACCTCATCAGGACTTCAACCCACAACATTTTGGCTTGTAGCATAGCCTGTCAACCAACTACGCTACCGTGTGCCCCCGCTGAGATAGAGACAGACACCTTTTACCAGACATTGAATCCAGATGCCTATTGCAAGGAGCAGAAGGTGACATTCTATATTCATGTGTTAAGTGAAGCTGCAGACAAATCAGCATGGCATAGTTTGTAAGCACTGTAAGGTAAAGCCAAATAGCAAGTGGAACTAAACTTTATTGTGACTAAACACACCAAATTATTCATATGGGTAATATAGATAAGGAAAGGGGGTAAACATGGAGTGACCTTGTTGATCATGATGGCAGATTAAGTTAGAATTTAAGGAACATTAATAGCTATACAAATAAAGCTTAGATTAGTGCCCACAATATATTTATCTGGTATAGGGCCATCAGCAAATTCCTGTAGCAAGCATTCCACTCTATAATGCGAGCCTGTAAACCTTTGTGTAGGCACAGTGAGCATAGTTTCAATAAGGGCACAGAACTACATTATTACTAGAATTAAGGCCCCTCTGTTGATGAAAACCCCACACCAGTCCTATGAGAAAATGAGCCCCCAAAGAGTGAGAAATGTTCCTGCTACCAAAATGGTAGTCAAAGTCACATTGCAACTGAGGTCGGTCAGTCAGTCAGTAAGTCTCAATAGATCATTGAAGGTCGCAGTGTGAGGGCCAGTTTTATGGCTCACCCCTCATACTCATACTCAAGTCTTGGTGTCAAGCCCCACGAGATATTTATTACTGTTTGACAGTTACGGTCTTGTTTTTGTGGGGGCGCCCTTTCTCATAAAAAAGGACGGGTCCATCTTGTATATGCTGCTGGCCTTTGCCAGCGCAGTCTTTCTCAGGTCAAAGTCCCTTGGTACTCGCGACCATATTTTACTGTCTCAGATTTGAGATTTCCCTTTTTGTCGCCTCCTACGACTTTGAACATCTTCCTGACAGAACCTTTCAAACAGTCTTCATTGCTTCTTATATAGGCTCAGCACAGACTACATAGAAAACATGGCCTCTATTGTTGACAAGACTTGTTTACTACTTGTTGCCTAGCAATGGAAAGCCCTTTTCCCATTGTTGGCGAAGAATTTTTCTTCACATGAACATGTTTACCTAGCTGTTCCCTGGCAACAGATAAACACTTTACAATATGAATGGTACTGTCTTTTGAGATATAACACCACATAATCTAGCAGTAGTTTGCTTTAGTTTTGTAAGAACATACTGCCTCCATCTTCAGGGTCAAAAAGTGAGCCCAAGCAAGCTGCTATCTGCTACTTACTCTGGCTTCTGAAGATGGAAGCAGCATACTCTTGTCAACTGACAGAAAATGTCTACCAGACTACATGATGCCACATCCCAGAATACAGTAGCCTTCAACCCTTTGGCTGTTCACGAACAAAAAGAATTTATTGTTTTCCTAATTATCAACAAACTTTAAAAATCTGACTTCTACTTTTTGAGTGCTGTTTGTCAGTTATCACATGACAAATGCAAGTAGCAGAATGAGCATAAAACTGCATGTTCTTTTATGAAGAAACTGACATTTCAGTGTTTCAGTTAAATATTCCACAGATGGAACATGGGGATATCTTTTTTTAGTGTCACTTAACAATGCTCTCAGTAACAAGACCACATAGCATTGATGACAGGATAATTGAAGGATGTGAAGCAGTTGGGGGAATGAGAACTGGCAGGGGAAACTGAAGTATTTGGAGAAAACCTGCCCCAGTGCCACTTTGTCCACCATAAATTCCACATGATTTGACCTCAGATTGAAGTATGATATATCTTTCTCTTGTTCAAGCCATATGGCAATGAAAATAGTGCACGAGACATCTCAACAGAAACAGCTGAAGAAAACGACTGTCTTCTGGGATGTTACAGGAATTTACAGACTTTTGGAAGAATATGCTGCCACTATCTTTAGGATATGAAAGTGATCTTCATATCACAATAATTATAAGGTTTAATAATGTGACATGTCAATGCATTGCCAGGCAACGGATTGGTAAACAAGTTACCGCGAAAACAGATCCTTGGTAAACAGTCCATTGCTAGGTTATGCAACAATTCTCAGAGCAGAAGAAACAGTTTTCTATGTGGTCCATGCCAAGCAAATGCACAGAACAAAAGGATGTCTATTGCTAGACAACAAAGCGGTAAACATGGATCCTTAACAAAAGAAGACAGTGTTCTCTATGGGGTCCATGCAGAGGAGTCATCTTGAAGACAGTCAGTGCTACCAGTCAGTTCTCAGAAGGAGACAGCCATGAGAAGTTTGTAGTTGAAGAAGAATTAGAAGTCGACCTGTGAATGTGTGATTTGAAGACTTTATGTATGCTGTAATGCAGTGATATCTGGAGTGACAGTTATAGTTCCCATGTTAAAATCCGTTGCCAGGAAATGGATAAGGAGAACTTTGCAGAGCAATACCCACTGTTTAGATCTGTTACACTAGCAACAACTAGTTGCAGCAGATATAGAAGACTTTATTTATGTGTTATAATTCCAGTAATCTTGAAAGTGTTACAATTATTTATAGCTACAACTAGTGAATATCCAATACATAAGACTCACAAATCCAAACACACGTCTTTATAGTCACTCAAACATGTGACAATAATAATGATGATAAAAACGAAGGGATAATGATGACAAGACTTGCTGTCAATATATTCTTCACAGTCTACAAGGGTCTCCTTAAAATAAGAAACATTTGAGCACCCTGCCCATGCAGGTCACTGACAGGTTTCTGAAGGCTGAGAGCTGTCATCAGACCCTCTGCCACATCCCCAGTGTTTGCCGAGCCAGTGAGTGAACTGGTGCTCTGTCACAGTGCTTATAAAGAACCATGTCAATAACTAATCCCGCCATTTGGGAAGTGTGTCCAGTGATTTGATTTTGAACACGAAAAACATTTGCTCTGCCGAAATCCACTGCCAACTTGCCAAAGTGCATGGGGAAGGTGTCATGAATGAGGGGAATGTGCAAGAGTGGCGCTGTTTATTTAATCGGGGAAGGATATATGCACAATGAAGTGAGATCCGGATGCCCAGCTGTGTCTGCTTCATGACAACGCACGACCATACACTGCAGAAAAAATGACAAAGTTCTTGGAGAAATGTGTTTGGGAAAACCTTGACCATCCCCCCCTTCAGTCGTGACCTGGCATCATCTGACTTCCATCTTTTCCCCAAAAATTAAAGTTTTTGGGCAGCAAACAAATGGCAATTGATGAAGAAGTAAAAGAAACAGTCACGGATTGGTTAAATGGACTGGTGGCCAACTTCTATGATTAGGGGATTGTCTACAATGTCCGGACAAATGCCTGATTTGCAATTGAGACTATGCAGAAAAATAAACATATGTTGTATCTGGTAGTGACATTAAAATTATTATTTTGAAAAAATTTTGTTTGTTTGTTTGTTTGTTTGTTTACAACACAACAGTTCTTACTTTAAAAATTTTCCAATATGCTTTACTTGCTTTTCATTTGTCAATTTATTTTCTGCACTTCCTCATGAACATGGTAACCAATCTTCAGATTCCATAAAAGGCAGGGAATTGTTTGAGTCGTTGAGCAACTATCAGCTTCTGTTGAAGTTCTCTGCTCCATGAAATTAGTTAACCACTCAGTCACTTGTTTTCCAGTTTTCATTTAATCCCTTAATATTTTATCTAAAAGTGTTTTGTGGGTTCCTCGTTGCTTAATGTTCATTTTTTGCATATAAAAATGATGAATACAGTGGTAGGAACAGCATTAAATTTATACTGCAAAATAGGAAAATTAGAGAAGAATTCCCAAATAGGATAAAGGGTAAATAACAAGAATAAAACTTGGTCCATGGAAGAAAACAGGCTATTTAGAAGTGCCATACATACAAGGTCCGTATAAAAAGTATCGGGAAAAGTTCCGGGAAAATAGATTTCAGATATTGCTACAATGCCTCAAAATTCTTCAAAATACATCCCTTGTGCATCGATACACTTTTGCCAACAGCGTTGCCACGACACGAAGGCTCCCTGGTAGGCAGATTCCGGAAGGTCCTTAAGGGTCCGCGTGCAAGCCTCTTTGACGGCACTCAGGGTCCCATGATGGTGCCCTTTGAGGGAGGATTTCACTTTCGGGAACAGGAAAAAGTCTGCTGGTGCCAAGTCGGGACTGTAGGGGGGTTGGGGTACCGTCGTGATGCCGTTTTTTGTCAGGTAGTCAGTCACCTTGGAGCAGGTGTGACTGGGTGCATTGTCGTGATGCAATTTCCAATTTCTGGCAATGGCTGGCCTCACCCGATTGACCCTTCTCTTCATTCTTCTTAGCACTTCCAGGTAAAAAGTTCCATTCACTGTTTGCCCCTCAGGTACAAATTCGTAGTGGACCACCCCCTGGGCGTCGAAGAAAACGATGAGCATGGTTTTCATTCTGGATTTGCTCATTCGCGCCTTTTTTGGACGAGGTGATGCCGAAGTGTGCCATTCGGAACTTTGACGCTTTGTTTCCGGGTCGTACTCGAATATCCA